AAAAGTGTCTATTTAGGTCCTTTGCCCATTTTTTGATTGGATTGTTTATCTTCCTTTTGTTAAGTTGTATGAGTTCCCTGTAAATGTTGGAGATTAAAGCCTTATCGGAGATAACATAGGCAACTATGTTCTCTCATGCAGTGGGCTTTCTTGTTGTTTTCTTGATGGTTTCTTTGCTGGGCAGAAGCTTTTTATTTTTATGTAGTCCCATTTGTTTATTTTCTCCTTAGTTTCCATTGTGCTGGGAGCTGTATCAGTAAAAATATTGCTATGACATATGTCTGCTATTTTGCTGCCTATGGATTCTTCTAAGTTTTTATGTTTTCCTGTCTTATGTTTAAGCCCTTTATCCATTTTGAGTTTGTTTTTGTGTATGGTGTAAGTTGGTGGTCTAGTTTCTTTGTTTGCATGTATCTGTTCAGTTTTTCCCAACTCCATTTATTGAAGAGACTGTCTTGACTCCATTGTATGCTCTTGCCACCTTTGTCAAATATTGAGCATAATGGCTTGGTTCAATTTCTGTGTTCTCTGTTCTGTTCCATTGGTCTCTATGTCTGTTCTTATGCCAGTACCAGGCAGTTTTGAGAACAGTGGCTTTGTAATATTGCTTGATATTTAGTATTGTGATCCCTCCAACTATGTTCTTCTTTCTGAGGATTGCTGCAGCTATTTGGGGCCCTTTTGTTAAGTTGTATGAGTTTCCTGTAAATGTTGGAGATTAAAGCCTTATCGGAGATAACATAGGCAACTATGTTCGCTCATGCAGTGGGCTTTCTTGTTGTATTCTTGATGGTTTCTTTGCTGTGTAGAAGCTTTTTATTTTTATGTAGTCCCATTTGTTTATTTTCTCCTTAGTTTCCATTGTGCTGGGAGCTGTATCGGTAAAAATATTGCTATGACATATGTCTGCTATTTTGCTGCCTATGGATTCTTCTAAGTTTTTATGGTTTCTGTCTTATGTTTAAGCCTTTTATCCATTTTGAGTTTATTTTTGTGTATGGTGTAAGTGGGTGGTCTAGTTTCTTTGTTTGCATGTATCTGTTCAGTTTTTCCCAACTCCATTTATTGAAGAGACTGTCTTGACTCCATTGTATGCTCTTGCCACCTTTGTCAAATATTGAGCATAATGGCTTGGTTCAATTTCTGTGTTCTCTGTTCTGTTCCATTGGTCTCTATGTCTGTTCTTATGCCAGTACCAGGCAGTTTTGAGAACAGTGGCTTTGTAATATTGCTTGATATTTAGTATTGTGATCCCTCCAACTATGTTCTTCTTTCTGAGGATTGCTGCAGCTATTTGGGGCCTTTTTTTTTTAATTCCAGATGAATTTTTGGCGAGTTTGTTCTAGCTTGTGAAATATGCCATTGGTATTTTAATGGGGATTGCATTGAACCTATAGATTGCTTTGGGTAGTATGGACATTTTAATTATGTTGATTCTACCAATCCATGAACACAGTATGTTCTTCCATTTGTTTATGTCTTCCTATATCTCTTTTTTCAATGTCCTGTAGTTTTCCAAGTACAGATCTTTTACCTCCTTAGTTAAGTTTATTCCTAGGTATCTTAATTT